AAGAATTAAAATTATAACTTAAATCTATAATATTTCATCTAGAATGCTCAATTCATAAAATTTCATGGTAGGATTACGTGTTGTTTAGAAGTAATGAATTGGCATACATACTTGGCTTTGGCATTCACTCGAAAAATTTACTTTTAATAATTTTACTTTCGAAACTGCTATAATTCAAGGTCGATAATCTAGAATCAATTTATTTTTAATTTCCAATTAATATAGAAATTTTTAAAATACTTAAAATTTCAAAAAAAAAATTGTCTCAATAATAAAAAAAAATTCCTTAATAACATTAATTTTGACTGACTGCTAATAAAAGGATATTAATTAATTTTTTATATGTATGTATGTATATGCATAGAACAGAAAAATTAATCTAATAAAGGATTACCCACTCTTATATTTTGTACTTTTTTTTTGTTTTCTTGTTAAATCTATTGACAAGATTTTTTTTTTAATGAAATATTAATTGATTCTAGTGAATAATTTTTTTTTTTTACTTTCTCCTCTATTGATTTTGTGAAAAGCTTTTTAAAACTTTTTATTTCTTTTGACTATTGTACTTTCAAAAACAAAAAACACAAATAAACAAAATGAAAATACAAAAAAAAAAAGAAGTAAAAATAATCATTTGAAAATCCTTTACAAGAAAAAAAATAATAGGAAAAAAGAAAAAGGACATCAATTTTATAGTTTGTAAATTGCACGTGAAACAATATTGAAAATAGCCACTTTATAATGAAGAGAGAAAAATTTCAAAAAAAATATTAAGAAGATTATATGGTTATACGAGTATGTATACCAATACCATTTATATGTATATATGAGCATGGAGAACACGTATATACAAGGTAATAATATTTACTCTAATGGAAGGTGGTAAATTGGTTACAAGGCTAATAATTGAATTATCATATATGTAAATATACTCTTATATAAAGCATAAAGGGTTTGTTAATTGCTGGATTATTTTATCTATGATTTCAGTTCTTAAATGGATAAGGTTTTTTTTTTTCAAAATTTTTAATCTCATTAGAAAAGATAATTTAGCTTATCACAATATTTGGTAAAAAATTTTCTGTTTTTTGTTGAAAAAAAAAATATTATTTGATTTTTTATGAAAATTAATTTCGTTTTAATTTAGTTGATGAATTTTTGGTTTATAACCATTTCGATAATCAATTCATAACAAATAAGTCTTTTTGAACAGTTGTCAGAATTCAATATTGGGTACAATAATATGAAAAATAAAATCTTGTGAGAAGTATTTTTCTATTAAAAAATTAAGAGCTAAATCATATAAACTTAAGGATATTATGCAAATGCTTCAGTAATGTACAAAAATATTATTTATTAAAATACTCGTAATTGTATTTGAATAAAAAAGGCAATTTATATTAGACGATACGATATCCAGGATGAAATTGGGTGAAATTTATAGTATTGAGTTTAATATTGAAAATTTATTTCACTTACGACATTCTTTTCAAAAATAAATCAGAGCTCAATTACACGAACGACTTTTTCCTTTGTAACTTTTTAAAAAAATATTTTTCTTATTATTAGAGTTTATTAGTATTTTACGTGATTACAGAGCAAAAGCCTGTGATTGTCACTATAATAGAAAAAAAGTAGAGGTGACTGGGAAACACGTTTCGGATGCCGAATTCAGGTTGGTATCAAATTGGATCGCACAGGTAAAAAGAAAGTGGGGTAAATCCGATAACATCTGGTGATGAACCATATTTAAGAAGGCCAAATCTAATAGAAAATAATGGTCAGAAATAAGGTGGCAAGTCCAAAACAGATTGTGATTCAGAGGATTTGTTGAAGTCCTGTAATTCCATCGGTAATGAACAAAGCAGAAATAGTAATATTTTAATATTAGTTTCTGCCGTCAACTAAAACTCTGCAAATTTTTTGATTAATCGATTACTGAAAATTGAAAAATTAATTAGTGCTCTATAAGGCCCAGCCTAATAAGCCTTAAAAATAAAATAATAATCATATTTTGTTAAAAAATAACAAAATAATAAAAAATATGATTTTACGGAAAAATTTTCATTGTCATTGAAAAGGGTGAGCCAATCGCTTTTATATTTAAAAATTAATTATGAATGCAAGAATGTAACAACCTTCAATAAAAGCCTTGAAATATGCACTTTCATTTTTTGATTTTTTTCGGGGATTACGAGTATTATGTTAAAATTTATAATATTGATTTTACTTGCTATATTCTATAATAAAATCTTAATTTACACATAAAAATTTAATAAAATATTTTTGAAATTCAATACTAAGTACGCCATTGTAATTTTCTTTCCAAAACAAAAAAAAAATTTTTCTTTCAATTCTTGTCTTCATTCGTACACTCCATTGTGTACAGAATTTAATATTTTTGGTATATGTATAAGATTTATTGATATTTATGATATTTTCTTTTAAATTTAGGCAATTTTGTATTTTGACTTGTGGGCATACACACATACATAGATACATATGCTCCATTATCGGCTTAAATATGTTAATCTTTCTTTATTTCTTACTACAAAATTTTATTGCCCCATAAATGAATGTTACAATATGATATTACAGCTTTGATCCTTTTTCAAATTAAATATTAATATTTACAAAAAAAAAATTCTCAATAAAATTCAAGTCCTTTTTAATAAAATTACTAAGGAAATTGTTAGAAAATTTTCTAGAAAAAAAAATTTTTTTTTTTGTTTTTAAGAAAACTTTAAATATAATTTAGTAATTTTGTTGTTTTTTTTTTTTTTTTTGAAATATTTGACATATTCATAATATGTCGTCAATCATTTTGCAAGCAAAATAAGAAATGTCCATATACACTTATAAAATAAAAGAAAAGGAGTATTGTTTTTTTTTTGGAAACTTTTAAAATTTAAAATTTAATTAACCGAAACCATATAAGCTTTTTACCAAAATTTTTATATAGAATTGATTCTTGAGTAATTTTCCGTTTTTTTTTTTTGTGTATTATTGCTTTTGGGCAGAAATTTTTTTTAAAATAAAGATCAATGTACTGTGAAAATTTAGCACACGGATGAAAAAATACAAAAGTAAAATAAATGCCTACATTAAATATATTTTTGTAAATGGTATAAAAAATTTATGAAAAAAATTTACGAGAAAATTTATTTTTTTTACAAATTTCTTGAAAATTCCTGGCCATTCCAGATCCTATTCAATTTTATAAATGTTAATATTTTTAAAATGTATACAGTAAGTATTAAATTCCGTGTTTGAAGGTCTTAATTATATATATATATATGTAGTTTAAGGAAAATTAATGATTTTTACAATTTATTAATTTCAAAACATAAGTGCTCACACAAATTTTATTAATTAAATGATTTCTAAGAAATTTAATTTTATTTTTGCTAATAAAATTCTGCTTTAAATAAAATTCCATTGTAAATTAAATTTAAGGAATTGAAGCTAACTTTTCTTTTTGGAAAATTCCAAACCGATTCTTCAATTGAATTTCAAATTTTGTATTACTTTGTATAACCATATCAATATCAAACATTTGTGGAAACAATGGCATGAGTCAAAAATGCAGAGTTGAAAACTTGCTTTTATTATACTATTATATTTTAATATACAAAATTTTATGTAATAAAATAATACAGAGAATTTGTTCATATATTTATAGAATAGTTTCATATACCAAGGTTTTTTAGCCTTCGATAGTAATTTACACTAGGCTATAAGTACTTTAAATTCCGGAAATCGAAATTTTATATTTCAGTTGTGTCATTATTTTTCCCAATGTGCCATATGCAAATTTTGCATGTATATTGTGTTATTTCAAAGTGGTTATCAGAACAAATTTGCCACAGTAGAATTAATATTAAACGGTACTATGCTATTTATACATAAATTTTCCTTTCTTGCAACACTTGTAAAAAACAAAAATTTGTCAATTTTTATTTTTTATTATTGATTAAAATCTATACTATTTTTTTATTTTCCAAAATTATTTTTATATTTTTTTCCAATAAAATTCAATTAAATTTGTGTATTAAATTTTTTTAAAAATTTGGGACTTTTTTAAAACTTTATTCAAAATATTTAAAACTTTTATAAATTTAATTATTAAAAACAATATTATACAAAGAAAAGTAAAGTTTTATACAAGTTTTTTACGAAAATTTAATTAAAATTTTATTAAATTTGCTTTATAAAGATTATATGTTTTTTGAAGATGATTTTAATTTTACATTATAATTGATTAAGGGTTATAAATTTACAATATTATGTGCATTGTATAAAATAAAATTGAAATAAATAAATGTTATCGAAAATTTTATCAATTATATGATAAATACTGGTATATAAATATTTGGTAATCAGTGATATGTCGATTTTAATAATCATGCAGAAATATTGTAAGTTTATTATAAAATATTTTTAATTATTAAAATTAAGGGAATTAAACAAATTTATTATGATCAATGAAAATTAAATTATTCCGCTTGTTCAATTATAATTAATTATAATTCTAAATATAATTTAAATAAATAATTTTTATTCATGCAATTAAATAAATAATATATTATAGAAATATCCTCATTTTAATTAATTTTCGCTTCGAAAAATTCCCGTATCAAAATTTTAATTAAAGAACATATTTTATTTGTTCCAAATTAAGAAAAAATTTATTTAATTCTTGAATTTTTAAATAAAATTTTAATTAAACTTAATATTTATTAAATAACGTCATTTATCTTAAATTTATTAAATTTATTTAAATTAAAATTAAAAACAAATTTTAAATGCAAGAGAGAATTTTGCAATTATAATAATATATAGATGGCGTTAATTTTATGTTAATAAACAAAGCTTCCCTATAAATTACCATTTAATTTTCAATAATTATAAAATATTCATTATTATTAATTAATTTTAAAATATTATATTTCTTATATATTTTTATGTATAATAATATAAAAAATATTTAATATACTCACTTTTGTTGGAATACCAAAACTATATCCAATAAAAATAGCCAAAAATGCAACAACACAAAATGATTTCATTATGCTAATTTGTTTCTTTTCTAAATTTATTGTGAAAAAAATGCAAAAAAATAAATAATTAAAAAAATTTAAAATTAAATTCTTTATTCAAAAGTAATAATTTACTTTTACAGAAGAGCTTAATTTTAAAAAAAAAAATTTGTATAAAATTCTTTATTACTTATTTTAATTTGCACTAAGTCTCTAATATAGTTTTGGCTAATATTGCGGATAATGTTGAATTTTCAAATTTTTGTTGATATACTCTGTTGTTTTTTATATATATGTATATGTATTTTAAATACTGTTGGCTTATATTATTGATAACAATAATTTTATCTTATATTTTTTACAAAATTTTTTTTTTGTTTTTATTTGTTTTTATAAGAATGCAACAGTTAGAATTCAAAATTTTAACTGACCGGAATTTCGAATTATTCATCCTTATATATACAATATCAAAAAAAAAATATATATTTTAACTATATTGTATTAGAAAAAGGATCTATAGCGCAAGCGTTTTATAAGAAATTAAAAATAAAAATAAAAATATTAAAAAAAATATAAGGAATTTATCATTTTATCATAACAAAAAAAAAAACAACAAGAAAACAATGAAAATAAATTTCAACATTGTGATTTTCATATTGTATACATTTGTAAATATAAAATGTGTATGTTAAAACACACCATAAAACAATTCATTTTACATGTAAGGTATACAATATGCTTGTATAACAATATCCGATGAATACATATATAAAAAAAAATTTTAGCATATTATAATTTAGCACTCTATATAACGCTATTAAAATGTTAAAATATATAAGAAATAAAAAAAAATCATAAAATACAAACATTAAAAATCAACCATCACAAAAAAAAAAAAACAAGAATTGAAACCATAACCAGCCCTAGCCACCTACTTGTATTTAATAGTATAATATGATAATAAAATATTTGCAAATTAAATAAAAAATACAAAAAAAAAATTATAATTATATTTATTGTAAAAACACTTGTCGGATTTAAAGAACCATGAGAAATTGTAAAAAAAAACAAGAAGAAGAAGAAAAATTAAGATGCTAAAAAAAACTATACGTACTACTACAAAAAATAGATTGTGGTATAGTTTAATAAGGACATTTCTATTGAAAAATTAAAATGAACAAAAAGATCACAATTCACAATAATACTCACAATAAGAAGAGTTTATACAATAAGAAGGTGAAATTAAATGACGAATGATAATGACAAAGAAAGTATAATGTTGGCAGAGAGCATGAAGAGAATATGAAAATACACAATGATAAGTTTAAATCTAAATCATACTTGTATTTGTGTGTTACACATCACATTTGAAAATTTAGTTTGATTTCAAATTATATGTATATATGTGTATTGAAAATTGGAAAATGTTCCAACGACAATAATGTTGACAGACTATAAATGAAAAGGGAAATTTTTTAGGTTAAGTTTTTTTTCATTTTTATTTTATTGACATTTATTAATATTGTCTATATACGAGTACCTACATAAAATTTTCCAAATTCTTTTAATAAATTTTAATGGAAAATTTTTGTCATATTTGAAATTCAAATATAAAAGTTTATTTAATTGCAAAATAGTTTTCTTTTTATTAGCGGTCTATTATGTATGTATTACAATAAAAATATTCATTTATTACCGCATATTAAATTTATTGTAAAAATAATGCTTAAATTTTGCTGATAAAGCAGCAAAAAAAAAAAAAACTAGACACCAGATACAATAATGTTAAAATTAAAATTTTTGTAGGACGATGTGCGAGAATAAATTGAAATCTGGTTGTATGTAAATGTGCGTAATATGATTATATGACGTCAATATCTTTACTTACCTTTACTGTTACTAATTGAAAAAAGAAAATTTTTAAAAGTAATTTTAATAAATTTTCAATTATACATAGAAAACTTGCTATACATTTGACTGTACTAATTAATTGTCGTCCTTGTTACAGCTTGTTTACTTGGGGCATTAGTCCTATAGGCAGCGGGTATACACAGTCGATCGCAAGTTGAAGCAGGTGTTCAAGTTGGGGATATTGCAAAAGTTGGCTTGTCTAATTTAGTGATTGTATTGGAGGCATTCGTTGAACTGACATTTACATTGTGTGAGAAGCTCGTCTAACAACTTACCGACTTCTTACTATTCTTGATATCATAGGGCCTTCGCGGAGAGCGAGCCCCTATCTCAGAATAGGCATTTTGGACGTTTTTCTCCTGTCGCATAAAATCGATCGTGGATACGAACGAAATAGTGTTTCCTGATCGACGCTTGTGCAGACTGAATGGTCTAGTTTTTGATATTGTAGGATATCAACGGGAATGGGCTCAGGCATGTATGGAGTGCACCTGAACATGAGCGTATAAGCATGAGTTTATATCCATTGTCCGGTATTTCATGCTGAAATATACATTCAATATAAATTTGCCTGAGAGTGAGCTTGGAAAGAGGTTATAAAAATCATATTATTTTGGGTGCTCTCAGACAGTAGAGCGGTGTTTTCGGCACTCCAGTTAGTTCAGGTCCTATCCAAGCTGGTTTGAGGTTAGGTTTTCGCACAGGTGAAGATGTCATTAATAAACAGAGAAAGTGATGGTGGTGAAATATCAAAACAGTGGTTTAATTGTTTTCTGACAACTGACAATGTAATTTATACTATATTAAATACAATAATCAAACTAAATTTAAAAAATTTTTACATAATTATATTTACATAAACATTTATGCTCAGACAATATTACATATAAGGTCATGTCATATACAAGATGTACAGTTTTGGAATATTAATGACCAACTTATGAATTCACATAATTTTTTTTTTTTAAATATTTTATTTGTAATCAGGTCAATAACATAATAATGTACGACAATATTTTATATATTTTTTATATGTATGTATATACAAGAGTAGTTGAAATATTTGAAGTATAGGATTTAATATAATAAAGATTTTATTTAAAGTTCAATGTCATTTTATTCAATAATATTTATTACTTCTAAGAAAAATAGTTAGGCGTGAATTCATTTTGTATAGAATTCAGTCATAATTTTCTAGGAAATTTGATGTATTGAAAATTTGATGAATTAAAATAATATTTTCTAAATGATAGACATGCAAATATTTTTTATTCATATATGTTATTTGTTATATTTAAAATTCAAAATTTATTTGACATATACATATGTATGTATATATGAATGTTAAAATCTTAAATCAATGATATTTTACTTAAACTCAACTGTTTTTTATATTTATAGTTTTTTCTGCATGTATGGATAATAACTCTTTTAAATAAATACTTGTGTGTGAAAATATTTCTACACAGTGAGCCTTTTATATAATGAACACTTCATATAATAAATATTTTTGGAACAAATTATTGCTACAATTGCAAATATAAACCAGTATTGTTATAATTTTATATGGGACTGCCTGTTACTAACTAAATTTAGAAAATATCTTTGAATATTGGCCTGCCAGCTAATTCTTATAAAAAAATTTCATATTTCTGAAACATTTATTTATACATATCATAAACTTTTAAAACTGAAAAGTCTATATTTACCACTCGACTCCTTAAAATATTCGGCGTCATATTTCTACTCTTTATTTCGTACTGTAGTTTTTCAAAAGTAGCACATTCCTGAGTAAGTCAAGCGATTTTAATATACAAAATTAATTATTTTTTCTTTCTCTTCTAATCAGTTGAATAAATTGTGTTTCTAAGACAGAAATTGTTTTACATAATATGGTGGACATAATTGAATTCACATGTATATGTGCTGAACGTACGTTACGTATAATAATATTATGATTTTTCTTATTTCATATAAAATTCTTAGAACTATTAAACATATTTAAAATGTCCATAATAATAAAATATTTTATAAAACAAAAAACATAATTTAACAAGAATTTTAGATTAAAATATGAGATGTTTATGAAATCATAGAAAAATATGATTTTTATTCCAAAATTTAAGAGTCACTTATGTTAAATATGCTCGTATCATTCAAATTAATCTTTTAAGTTTGAGTTTATGTTAATCCTTTTATTTTTCGTTGGAAATAAAATTGTTTTTTGCGAGGGCATATGGGGAAATGTCTCTATTATTTCAAAATATTGAAATAATTTGAAAATTTTGAAAATTCAATTCAAATTGTAGATTGCTAATTGAAAAAAATTATATTTTATTTTCCAATATATTGCAGTTAAAATTTCTAATAACATGAATTTAATATGGGTTTTTCCATTAATTGTAAAATATTTTAAATTTTTTTTTTTATGTTGGATACAGAGTTTTCCCTATAAGCCCTCGTTTTATTGTACGATATTAGCAAAAGTAGAAAACTACATGTTCTATACTTTGATAATTTTATTTATATTGTTCTTCGTATATCCTACAGTGTGATAGGTTATTTTGTATCATAGACCTTTGAGACTTAATTTCTATATAAATATTTAGAAAATATACCATTTTGAAATTTGATATTATGTAAGTGAGGTATATTAACACTTTGAATGAATAGGTCTATATTTATTTGTTTAATTTCTTATATTAGAATTTTTTGTTAATTTGTTACAAATATGCATTATTAGCTTAATAAACATAAACAGTTTTTTCTATTTTAATACATGCATACTTTAGATAATTTAGTGATTATTGAATTCTAAATTTTTTCTTATTTCTTTTTCTTTTTTACCTATAACATTTCGGTAATATTTATTTACTTCTAATATAGAAGAGAAAATTTTGTTCTGGGAATTGTATACCAACTTAATTCCTTTTTGTTTAAGTTTACTTTACGTGTTTGTATAAATATATTGACTTAATTATTGAAGATAAAAGAAAATAATTCAATATAAACATGGCAAATATAAATTGAACCTTTGAAACGTGATTGATACCTTTTTTGTTTTGTTTTCTAATTTATTTTGATATATGTATGTAATAAATGTGAAATTTTAAGATTTTTTTTGGAAATTTTCTTGTAATCTTTTTGTAATTTTAAAGAAAATATTCTTTTTGAATTTTTATTATATTTTTTTTTAAATTTTGTAATAATTAAATTTATTTTAAGTGATAAAGTTAAAAATCTTATCAAATTTCGAATAATGTCAATTTTATTGATTTTAAAATTTAATTGATCTTTATGTGTCTTTTAAAGTTAAATTATAAGTTAATTAATTTTGAATATAATTTGAGTAAGTTCTGAAGTAGATAAACTGACAGTATAATGAAGAAATTTTGGATATTATTGAAAATTTTGAAAAATTTTTGATGGCATTGCTGAGGCCCCCCGCAAAATACCAAAAATTTCTTAATTCATTTCTATTTCCATAA